TCCCCGCGAAGACTCGACCCGAATCGGTTCCGCAGGTACCGTCCGTCGCCAAGCCGTCGATGTCTCCCCCCTGCGCCGCGTCAACCAAGCCATCGCCCTCCTCACTATCGGTGCCCGTGAAGCTGCGTTCCGAAATGTCAAGTCGGTTGCTGAGTGCTTGGCCGAAGAGCTGATCAACGCCGCGAAGGGAAGCAGTAACTCCTATGCCATCAAGAAGAAGGATGAGCTGGAGCGTGTCGCCAAGAGCAATCGGTAAATGGTGGTGGTGGAAGTGGAAGTGGAGGTGGAGGGCGTGTTTGCATGGTTTGGAATCGCATGGGATGGGGTTTCGATTTGCGTGCGTTCATGGAAGGCATGGGCGATCTCTGGCTGCGTTCTGAATGTCACATAGATGGCTTAGTCGAATGCTGAAGCTCTGAATCCATTGTGGTTCTGGATTTGCATACGTGAGAATGAGAGGACTCAGATTGGAGTTGCGAAGTCATTTCATTTCCAGGACTGCAGAGAGAAGTCGTGGGCAGCATGCAGAAAGTGCGCGGTCTATCCAGCTGCCGCATTCGAAATCTCTGGCAGCATGGTCAAGCGTCCATTTTCCATTCTCATAACCTGCTTCATTATCTCTTGGGTTGCCAGAAGTTTTCATCATTCATGCCTCCATCTTTCCAGCACAGCATCCAAGTACGGACTCTCTCTTCTGCCTCGCATAGTGCTCCCAAACCCACGGCTGAAAGTGAATTCTTTGCAACTAGAAATTCACTTCCTGTCCCAAAGCCGAAACTATCAAAATGTCGCCATTCGAATTTCACTTTCCCACTTCTACCCCTCAATAACACAACCCGAAACCCAGCAGCGTCGAAGCTGAGCACGGCCATTGTTGGAGCAATCATGGCGTCTCCCGATGTATGCATCATATCTTCATCCGTGTCATTAGATGGCTGACCGTCTCACCTAGGCTACCGCAGTACTAACGGCTCAGGTCGATTATCAGCTCCCCGAAGACGAATTACTTCAAGGACTCGTCCCCACCATTCGACTCGCAGAGAATGAATACAAATTTCGAGAGGGCAGAAGTATTACTACAGCCAAGGAGCTTTTAAAGGGATACATCCAGTACTTCAAGCAGGCGTCTTCACGTCTCGCAGTTGACAAAGACAGTGATGTCCAAATCTTGACTTGGGATGCCATCATCAAGGTTACTGAAGACGCTCTACTATTCCAACATCATCCCAAACTTCTTATGGAGATCGATCCCGACTTGGTACGTAAACTTCATGCTCTTAATTTGCATCCCTTTGCGTGTTGGATATTGTCCGCTTCAATCTGCAATCATCAACTTGCGCTTCAGCTTGGCTAATTTCCCACATTCAGCAATTTAAGCCACCAGCCTTTAAACACCCTGGTCTGCACACATTCGCGCACTCTACATATCCCTGGCCTCCCTATAAAGCCAGGTATATGATTCAAGAATTGAACAAGCTTGGCATCGAAATAACTTCACTACTGCTCGAAGACTTATGGTGCTGAAAGCGGGACTTATTGGGAACTCGACTAATATCGACGGACTGAGGCACCCATACCCGCTTCTGTTGCCGTTCCTGGTTCTTGGCTGTCAGAAGTTGGCGTGGCTGTCAGAAGTGGATGGGCTCCGCGAGGATGGTATCGATGAAGTGATTGTCCTAGAGGCTCTCAACAACGCAGCCAAGATGATATCACCACTTGTACCTCTCGTTAATGCAGCATAATGACAAAAGTGAGATAGGGTTTCTTCAGCCTGGAATTCGGCTTGGGATTTACGACTCAGGTCATGCTGAGCCAAGTTTTCGAGATGCATACACCTCTTTCTCAAGAGTCTAAGACTAATGAGAGAAAGTAAATCATATGCACCAAGCAATTTCCTCCTCTAGATTGATTTGTACACTCTTGATTGTTCCCTACAGTCAATGCTCTCCTTTCTTTCTGTCTATACTGGATTGCTCTTCCCCTATTGGATAGGTATGAATTCGAATCACGTGCGATGTGCATTGTGGCTGGCCCAACCTCATCTCCCGAGCCTTCTTTCTTTCTTATCTCCCACACGAAACCTCAACTTAAGATCGATTCACCCAAAAGATCAAAGCTACGACTAAGCTATGAAGTTTATGCGGATTCTATCACACTATCATTAAAACGAAGGTAGAGAGCCTCCCATCACAAGCGCTTCCCAGATCACCTAAGAGCACGAGCCGGCCACAGTAACCATCTACCATTCCAGCTAGGCAACCACTATTTTCTCGGATCACTTCTCTACTGCCCTCAAGGCTACCCCGAAGATTACAAAGACAAGTTTCACAGATCCTTACTCGAAAGCGACCTCTGCATTCCACCGTTGAAAGAGCTGCGAGGCTTGAGGCGAGGCGGGAGAAGTTATTGGCAAAGTTTCTGAAAGAGTCGAGATGGATACATCACAGAATGGAGCAAGCATCTCGCCCATCTGCTCCGAGTGCAAATCCATCTTTGATCATTGGTATGACAGAGATAATTGGGCCGAGGCTAGGCCTGGGCACTCTCATCACCACATTGTCGGTTTACAAGAATCGAGCCAGAGTGGATGCTCTGTTTGCGCTATACTCTTGCATGGATTGTCTAACCCCACTGTGGTTGACCTCACGCGAGGCTGGCCGTACTTGAAGAGTTCTGTCACTGTCGCTCCATTTGATCGCAACAGCAACTGGAACGACTACAAGATCATTGCAGCCTTTCATTTCAACATTTCAGGGAAGGATAAACAAATAGAGACAAGTCTGGATGCCTTTCCCTCAGGTAATAATAGAATCTAGCTCAAAGGTCTCGGCGGACTAACGCGTGTCGCTCAGCAGTAAACGATAGTACCACAATTGGGACAATTCAAAAATATGCTAATTCCGAAGATAACTGGGCCCTTATTCAAAAATGGTTGCACGTTTGCCAAAACACACACACTCGTTGTACGCAGAACAACTACTTTGATCGGCAACTTCCCACACGACTTCTGGAAGTTGGTGATGCCGATGGATTTTTGAAACTATGCATAACGAAGTCTCTACCACGACAAACACAGTACTTGACCCTGAGCCATTGTTGGGGCGGTCAGGCATTCACGACGCTTACACGCAGCAATTTTCAGGAATTTCAATCCTGTATTCCTCTGGATAGCCTTACTAAGACATTTCGAGAAGCTATCATAATAACCCGCAGGCTCGGATTCAAATATATATGGATCGACTCTTTGTGTATTATTCAGGGAGACGAGACTGACTGGTTACAAGAGGCGTCAAAAATGGGTTCGGTGTATTCAAATTCAACCCTTAACATCGCAGCATCGGCGGCACCAAATGGTGACGTCGGGTGCTTCACGGCTAGGGAACCAGGTCCGAGCCTCGGCTGTAGGGTGGTGGCAGTTGAAAGAGAAACATACGACTCTCTCCAAAATGCGTGTAGAATTTGGGACATTACAATCCCGAATTTCAGCCTTCAACTAAACGAGAGCGTACTCAACTCTCGGGCCTGGATATATCAAGAATTATTTCTTGCACCAAGAATTTTGTACTTTGCACCTACGCAACTGGTGTGGGAATGTATATCGGCAAAAGCCTGCGAGACCTTTCCAGATTCATATGATGACACGTTGATCACAATGCCAAACATCAAATTCGATATGTGGGACTGTCCAGGTTCAGTCGCAACAAAATGGGATGGTGTTGTCAGCGCATATTGTTCCAAATCTGTCACTTTCCAAAAGGACAAACTCATTGCGGTGTCTGGCATCGCAAGACTGTTTGCGGAAAAATTTGGAACAACGTATCTGGCTGGGATGTGGAAAGAAGATTTGATCATACAATTAACTTGGGCTGCTTCGGAACCCTGGACCGGTGAAATTCGAGGCTCCATACCTTCGTGGTCCTGGGCGGCTACGGATAGCGATATTTTCACTGATAGCTTCGATTTGTTTTCAAATTGCACTCCTCTCGCAGCTGTTCTGGAGGCTACTACCGTTGTGGTAGATGACACATTTGGCGATGTTAGGGGTGGGACGATGCGAATTAAGTGCCCACTTCCTCTTGTTGTCAGGATTGTGAAACTTCCACAGGTGGAACAATTGGTCGACATTCGGTTCTATGATCTTGATGATATCACATATCTTCTCTTTTACCCTGATAGGGTTCCGTACTTTGATGGACAAGAGCTCTATATCTTGCCTCTGATCGAGGGTGTTACCTGGGAGCAAGAGAAAGTTATATCTGGTCTCGTCATTGAGCCTGTGCAGACAGGGTCCTACCGACGTACTGGATACTTCGAGTCAATGCCGGATGATATCGAAGGATTCTCAGAGGCGAAGAAGAGAGCATCTTACGAGGACAAGTATTTTGTAGGGGAGGCACTTGGACCTGATGATGATGGCCAGAAGATGTGTATCATCACTTTGATATAATGGTCGATTATCAAATCTCTAAATTGATATACCTCTTAAGTCTTTGAGAATAGGTTTAGTGTATTTATATTTAACACTTAATATCGCTGCATTAGCGGCCCCTTATAATAACTTTGGATGCTTTACGGCTAGAGTACTCGACCCGAATTATAGTTACAAGATAGTAGCAGTTGAAAGAGAAACAGCTGTCTCGCTCCATACTGTCGTGTCGGCAGGGGCAAAAACTAAGATATTATAATTCCGAACTTTCATCTTGAAATGACCACGATTGTGCTCTTCTCTCGAGCCTGGGTATATCAAGAGCGGTCGCTGCACAAGCAAAGTCATTTCAAGCAGAATCAAGAGTATATAGAACCACCAAACCACACAAATTAGAAATCCACGCTATTCATGACATAGCTACAGTAGCTCAAATTGCGCATAGCCTCTCGCCTCCTGTGCAAGCTGGCTAATGGTACCCTAAGCGAGGCCGGCTAGGTACGGATAAACCCGGCTTGCAAGCTAATGACTAACATAAAATTAAATAAGCAACTTTTCCGAAAACATTACTTTCGGGAGGATGGCCGAGTGGTTATGGCGTGTGGTACGTGCTTGCCTGCGCCCAGCGAAAATGTTCCACCCTAACATTCTTATCAGGCTCAAGATACGATATCGTATTTTTCTGATTTAAACATCAGTGTGCTTTCTCATAGGGAAACCTGCAGGGGTTCGAATCCCCTTCCTCTCAAATCAACTTTTTTTTTCTCATCCTCAATTAGCGATACTCTTAGCAGAATGTCCCTCGCGTATATATTTCTGGGATTCTAGAAAAGAGGGGAGGATTAGCACTTTTATAAATAGTAGGAGATTATCCTTATTAGGATATAGGTGTTATGGCTTCCCTTTGTTCCCGTTTTTTAGACTGGCTCCCAATGATAGTATATAAGGCATCTCTTTGTTAGAACCCTCTTTGTTTTGTACAAATTAGAATCATCATTGCCTACAAAACTCACTTGTTCTTATGATTTACATAACTTCAGCCCACAACCGATAGGACCTTTTACTATTTAGTCTCATTCTCTCATTTTACATATGAGCGTTGGGAGAACCATAATTGAAAGACTATATAGGCTGTCTCGTTTTAAACTCCTATTAACCTAGGATGATTCCCTGTGGTAGTGGGACAGGCAAGGAAGCCAGAAGAAAAAGCCATACCAGTTGGCAGTTGCTGTAGTGGAAAACTGAATTTTCTCATAACTTGCCACCACAACACGAGGGTAGATATCTCCATTTCTCTCCTTCTATACTAAAGTCACGAGAAGCGAACTCCAGCCCAAGCATAAAAATTAGGCGCACTTGATTTCCCTGCTTCTCTCATCTTCTCCTCCCCTGGCCCTTGATGTTCATCCCCCCGCATTACCTAGCTGAAACAACAGTGTATACAGCAAAACCATCCGCAGCACAGCGTATTATCGATGAACTCGAGACACCCGTTACCACCACGAATACTAATCTGTTCTGGTTGTGATGTTTGTAGGGCTTCCTGTACTCTGAGTTAGCTGTTGTCTCTGACTAACGACTGAGTATAAACATCACACACGATTCATCATCCCACCGCCATGCCATCTTCCTTATCCTATTTATTCCTCAAGAACCGCCTATTGATATTCTTACTCGCAACAGCAAATGCAGCAGCAACTCAAGCAGCGGCATATCGTCTGGTCAATGCAATAATCGCCGCCAGTACCGCCCCCACGGATCGCCACTGATTCTTGCTGTGCTACTTGCGGGGCTGCCTGAAATTTTGACTGGTAATTAGCTTCGCATTCAGTTCTTCGGCTCAGCAGCTTCTAAGCGTGGTCACACGGACAGCAAAGACATCCGCAGCAGCATTGATATCAAAGGAACGAGCACCGCTCCCCGCAACTGAGCTCGCTGGCCCATTCACCACCGCAAAATTTTCTCATCGGCTCTTGTGGAATACCTGCGGAAATGTCTGATGTTGCACTGGCTGAAATCTGGCTATGGGGAATGGGTAGGAGATAGTCAGCTTACAGAAGTAACATAGCCTTGAGGCGGTGAAAGCTGCGGTTGCGTTTGGTAATCCCAGGATATATTTGTGTCTTGTGGTGTGTTTTGTTGAGACTTGGGGATTGGGAACATGGTGAATGGTGTTTGGTGGATATTGAGGCTTACGGTAAATAGCGTGTGAAAGGGTGAAATGTGCAGACAACGAGAGCGCTTAGATTCTCTTGAAGATATTGAAAGTTTGATGTCTATGGCAAAAGCTGAAAAGAAGGAGGAGATTATTTTCTCGTTCTTTTATAGAAGATTTTGCGGTGCTTTAATAGGTAATATTCTGTTTGATTCCGAAAACTAAGAGATTATTCACTTCTAGTTGAAGGCAACGAACACAAAGTCTCTATTGGCTCGATTCACAGATCTTCGATATTGAACAAAGCAAGTACTCAGATCCTTACAAGCACTCCTAAGAAGCTGGATCTTGGAATGAAGATAAGATTCACATAGCCAAATTTACCTCTAGATCGAATTACATCTTTCTCTGCGGCGATATATCAGAATATGATGACGTTTATGAGTTCCAGAACAGGGCTCGGAATTTGGTCTCGAGTCTTGGGATAGGAACATTCTTACCGTTGATCAAACTCCTCGCAAGACATCAGCAGCTATGGAGGATTGACCAGGGTGTGCAGAATTGGAATTGCAAGCCCCTTCTCTCTGTATAGCCCAGTTATAATTGTTTGGCTCGGGAATAGTATATTGTCAGGGATTTTATCTTTACGGCCGTATATTCTATGCTCGGGGGACAACTGCCAATCAATATGTGTCACCCCTGATACAACGAATGAGTCACTTGGTCGAATCTTACTTCCCATGTCCTATTGGCTCAATTCGGGAACATCTTACTAAACTTACAGCGCTAACTGCCTTGACTCAAACTAAGATTTTCTGTGATATAGCAGCCTCTTTGTTCCTGGCATCTAATTTGAAGTCCTCTTTCTGTTTTTCTTATTTTCTTCCCCCATTTTTGTCTCAATCTCTTTTTTATCACAAAATGCCTTCCCTCCCCCTCCGCATTGCAATCCTCGAATGCGGCACCACGCCTCCCAACGCCGCCAGAAAATATGGTAGTTATGGCGGAGTCTTCGCCTCTCTCCTCCGATCTGGCGCCGACGCCCTATCGTACCCGAACCTCAGCTCCTCTTCCGGCCTCTCAATCTCGACATTCGACGTCGTGAAAAACCTCTCCTACCCCTCTATACCAGACATCGACGCGATCCTGCTCACGGCGTCGGCCCCCAATGCTTTCGATAATGATCCGTGGATACTGAAGTTGGTGGCTTTCGTGAAGGAGATCCTGGAGCAGAGGAGGGTGCGGATCGTTGCCGCGTGTTTTGGTCATCAAATTGTTGGGAGGGCTTTGGGCGCGAAGGTCGGGAGAAGTTATAAGGGATGGGAGATAGGTGTTACACCGATTGATTTGACGAAGAGGGGGCAGGAAATCTTTGGACAGTCTACTTTGGTGAGTACCTTCCAACATACCTCTCAAATTGGACTCTGGATTTGTTTCGGCTGAACAGAATTGAATAGGCTTTGCATCAAATTCATGGTGATGTAGTGTATGACTATCCTCCCGGCGTGGAGGAGTTGGCATACACAGATGCATGCCCCGTGCAATCCATGTATATCCCGAAAAGGGTAATGACTGTTCAAGGACATCCGGAGTTCACAGAGGAGATTATGAGAGAACTGTTGGATAGGGCATATGCCACGGGCTTTTTCGATAAGAGATTGTTTGAGGAGTCGATGGCAAAAGTGGATAAGTACCAGGATGGAGTAGTGGTTGCGCAGGCATTTCTGAGATTTCTGTTAGAGGAGTAGGTGAGAATAATTGGGTCATATTGGATGCCTTAACTCTAGAATGTATTGTTTGGCTTTTAATCTCGTATCTTAAGGAGGGAAACAAGCAGTTCTGTTCACAGCCCCCTGTGTATACCTAAGTACTCTAACTCATTGCAGGAAAAGGCGGTTGGACACAGCAACGTTCCAGAAGTCTTTGCATAGAGGTCCCGTGCCGTGTGCAACAGACTAATCTCACACTTTCAGTAGACTAGCTCTTCCGATCCAAGGTTAGGCCGTTTCTTCTTTCTGTTCATTTTTCTTTTCTTTTCTAAATACAAGAGTGCAGCTTCACCTGATTCAAAGCGTCTTTGTCGTGGCGGGGCAACGCAATCTGACACGCAAGCAATCTAATCGGACACGCGAAGCGCTATCATCTCTCTCACGCGCCGATCTTTGATATTAGCGCATGTTGTACAGAAGCCCAAAATCACGCCTTGAAGCCACCTCGCTTGTATTTTTGGCCCGTCGTGATTAAGGGGTACGTCTCGCTTATACTTTTCTGACTCCACGGGAACACTTCAAAGGTTTCGACGCTTTCTATCTAACGTCTCTCCCTGCGTTCCGAGACGCACCCCGTAGCGAGACAAATCGTAGGTACTTTAAGTTCAAGCGACTTTAAATCTATAAACACGTTAAAATTTCTATTCATTTTCATTTTAGTATATTATATACTTCCCCCGAACACTCCTAACCTATTAATTCCGAAAATTATTATCACGTCGTCGCCGCCCTATTAAATTTAGAGAGGGCCTCCTTTTATACTATAATAGGACCCCTCGACTTACGATACTACTATTAAGCTTTTTTACTTTTTAAATATATAGAACGATGAGATATAGACATCTAGGTTTTATTATAATACTAAAACGGTATTTTTAGTCTTATAGCGGCTAGAGCGCGCTATGTCATACGCCGTCGCTATATAGGCTGAAACCTCCTCTGATTAAGCGATCAAGGATCCTGATCAGCGATGGTGTGGTTATAGTGATCTCGGTAAAATTGTAATAAAATCTGTGGCTGCTAAGCGTGTGGCTGCGACGTTTGTGGCTCCGCGTGGAGGATCTGCCGGAGAATCCCGTTTCTTGACAATGTGCTACTATCCCCCCCTGGTTTAATTACAGGTGGAGACCTGGGTAACGCCACCCTGAAACCTCGTCTATATCCCCGAAGTAGGTAATACCAGGTGCTTCTTCTACGGTATCAGCGGCTTTCGAGAATCTCTATTGGCTGCAAACTCGTAAGTCACCAGTTTAGAAGTGGTGTTATTTAGGACCCACCTGAAATTAAACCGGGGGGGGGGATAGTAAACAAGATTTCAGCCGCATGCGACAGAAAACAACGCTGATATATCGGAATACCTTGCTTCGTCGAATTCGCTAAGTTCTGGCCTTCTTTCCACCATAATTGAAGCTTTATTAAGTCGATCCTGATACCACGACAGCTACCAATTCAAAGATGTCTTCCTTGAATCATTCCTGCAGCGCATGCTTTGATTTAGAATATGACCGGTTCTTGGACTTTGTGCAGGAGAACTCGAGTCGTTACCGTATAGTTAGTCTCCATCACATGAGAGCGGTTGCTAGTGTGGGCTGCAAAATGTGTTCCATCGTCCTGGAAGGGCTTGACCGCCTTTGGAAGGATGAACAATCATCAAACTTTCCGGAAGATTCAGTATTACTTCATAAGCATCCTAATCGACCTCTATCTGTGTGCAAAATATCGGCAAGATATTGGGACGGTAACGAGGAGGCTGCGATAGGTGATATGGAGTCGTGGATCGAGCTCTTTACCCCTAAAGGTCAGGCGGACATTAGTAGTTATCTA